TAACTCCAAAGCTAGCAGAAGTGACTAAAATTAGAACAGAAAAAAAATAAAATAATAAAATCAGAGCAAAACTGAAATAAATTGAGACTCAAAAATCCATGCAAATAATAAACAAAACCAAAAGTTGCTTCTTTGAAAGGCTAAGCAAGATCAATAGACAGCTAGCTAGATTAACAAAGTAAAAAAAGAGAGAAAATCCAAATAAGCACAATCAGAAATGGCAAAGGTGACATTACAACTGGTCCCACAGAAGTACAAAAGATTCTCAGAGACTATCAGGAACATTTCTATGCAAGCAAATTAAAAAATACAGAGGAAATAAATAAATTCTCCTAAACACACAATCTCCCAAGATTGAATCAGGAAGAAATTAAAACCCTGAACAGACCAATATTGACTTCCAAAATGGAATCGGTAATAAAAAAATCTATCAACCAAAGGAATCCCTGGACTAGGTTAATTCACATTCAGATTCTACCAGATATACAAAGAAGAGCTGGTACAAATCCTACTAAAACTATTTCCAAAAAATTGAAGAGGAGGGACTCCTCCCTAACTCATTCTATGAAGTGAGCATCGCTTTGATAACAAAATATGGCAAAAGACACAATAACAAGAAAAACCATAGGCCATTATCCCTGATGAATGTAGATGCAAAAATCTTCAACAAACGGAGTCCAACAGCACATCAAAAAGTTAGTTCACCACGATCAGGTAGACTTCATTCCTAGAAGGCAAGGTTGGTTCACCATACACAAATCAATAAATGTGATTCACCATATAAAAAGAATTAAAAACAAGAACCATATGATCATCTCAATAGATGTGGAAAAAGCTTTTAATAAAATATAACATCCCTTCCTGATAAAAATCCCCAAGAATTAGGCATTGAAGAAACATATGTCAAAATAATAAGAGCCATCTATGGCAAACCCACAGTCAACAGCATACTGAATGGACAAAAGCGGGAAGCATTCCCCTTGAAAAGAGAAAGAAGGTAAGGATGCCCACTCTCACCACTCCTATTCAGCATACACTGGGAGTCCATGCCAGATCAATCAGGCAAAAAAAAAAAAAAAAAAAAAAAAAACTTTCAAATAGGAAAAGGAGAAGTCAAACTATCTTTCTTCACTAACAATATGACTCGATACTTAGAAAACCTTAAAAATTTTGCCTAAAGGTTCCTGTAATAAACGAATTCAGTAACATCTGAGGATACAAAATCAATGTAAAAAAATCGGTAGCACTTTTATACACCAATAACATTCAATATCAGAGACAAATTAAGGACACAATCACATTTATAATAGCCCCACACACACACACACACACAACAAAAAACAGGAATACATCTAACCAAGGATGTGAAAGATCTCTACAAGAACCACATAACACTGCTTAAAGAAATCATAGGTAACACAAAAAATAGAGAAATATTCCATGTTCATGGATTGAAAGAATCAATATTCTTAAAAGGACATACTGTCCAAAGCAATCTATAGACTCAATGCTATTTCTATTAAGCTACCAATATCATTTTTCACAGAGCTATAAAAAGCTCTTCTAAAATTCATATAGAACCAAACAGGAGCCTGAACGGTCAAAGTAATTCTAAGCAAAAAAAAAAAAAAAAAAAAAGCTGGAGGCATCACATCACTCAACTTCAAACAATACTACAAGGGTACAGTAACCAAAACAGCATGGAACTGCTACAAAAACAAATATATAGGCCAGTGGAGCAGAATAGAGAACCCAGAATAAAACCGCACACCTACAGTCATGTGATGTTTGACAAAGTCAATAAAAATTAGCAGTGAAGAAAGGATTCCCTATTCAATAAATGGTGCTGGGATAGCTAGCTAGCATATAAAGAAGGATGAAACTGGACCCCTAACTTTCACCATATAAAAAATTAACTCAAGATGGATTAAATATTTAAATGTAAGACCTCAAACTATGAGAATCCTAGAATAAAATTTAGGAAACACTACTCTGGACATCAGCCTTAGGAAAGAATTTGTGACTATGTCCTCAAAAGCAATTTCAACTAAAACAAAAATTGACAAATAGGACCTAATTAAACTAAAATGTTTCTGCACAGCAAAAGAAACTATCAACAGAGCAAACAGACAACCTATAGAATTGGAGAAAATAATTATAACCTATGCATCTGATAAAGGTCTAACATCCAGAATCTTAAAGGAATTTAAACAAACAAGCAAAAAACAATACGATTAAAAAGTGGGCAAAGCACTAAAAAGTGGGCAAAGGACATGAACAGACACTTCTCAAAAGAAGACATTCATGTGGCCAAGAAACATATGAAAGAAAAACTCAATGTCAATGATCATTAGAGAAATGCAAATCAAAACCACAATGAGATACCATCTCACACCAATCAGAATGGCTATTATTAAAACTATAAGAAACAACAGATGCTGGTGAGGCTGTGGAGAAATAAAAAGGCTTTTACACTGTTGGTGGAAATGTAAGTTAGTTCAACCATTGTAGAATACAGTGTGATGATTCCTCAAAGACCTAGAACCAGAAATACCACTGGACCCAGCAATCCCGTTACTGGGTATATACACAAAGGAATACGAATCATTCTATTACAAAGATACATGCACACGTACATTCATTGCAGCACTATTCACAATAGCAAAGACATGAAATCAACCCAAATGCCCACTGATGATAGACTAGATAAAGAAAACCTGGTACATACGTACCATGGAATACTATGAAGCCATAAAAAGGGGATGACGTCTTTTACAGGGACATGGATGGAGCTGGAAGCCATTATCCTCAGCAAACTAACACAAGAACAGAAAACCAAACACCACATATTCTCACTTATAAGTAGGAGCTGATCGATGAGAACACATGGACACATTGGGAGAACAACACACACTGGGGTCTGTCAGGGGAGCAGGGGTTGGAAAGCAACAGGAAGAAGAGCTAATAGATGCTGGGCTTAAGAATAGCTAATAGATTCTGAGCAGCAAATCACCATGGCACACATTTACCTACGTAACAAACCTTCACATCCTGCACATATACCCTTGAACTTAAAATAAAAGTTGAAGAAAAAAAAAATGTGGACAAACGACATGAACAGACACTTCTCAAAAGAAGACATACAAGTTGCTAACAAACATACAAAAAAAAAAAATGCCCCACATCACTAATAATCAGAGAATTGCAAATCAAAACCACAATAAGATATCATCACATACCAGTCAGAATAACTATTATTAAAAAGTAAAAAAATAATAATGCTGGTAAGGTTGTGAAGAAAAGGGAATGCTTACACACTGACAGTGGGAATGAAAATAGTTCAGCCTCTGTGGAAATCAGTTTGGAGACTTCTCAAAGAATTTAAAACAGAACCACCATTCAGCACAGCAATCCCATTACTGGCCATATATGCAAAGGAAAAGAAATCTTTCTAACAAAAAGTCACATACACACATATGTTTATCACAGCACTATTCACAATAGCCAAGGCATGGAATCAATCCAAGTGTCCATCAATGGTGGATTAGGTAAAGAAAATGTAGTATATACACACCATGGAATACTTGACAGTCATAAAGGAGAATAAAACCATGTCCTTTGCAGGGACATGGATGCAGCTGGAGACCATTATCCTAAGTGAATTAATGCAAGAACAGAAAACCAAATACCCTATGTTCTCACTTATAAGTGGGAGCTAAACAATGGGTACTCATGGACATAAAGATGGCAACAACAGAAACTGGGGACCACTAGAGTGGGAAGGGAGGGAAGGGGGCAAGGGCTGAAAAACTAACTATTGGGTACTAAGCTCAGTACCCGGGTGATGGGATCAATCTTACCCCAAATCTCAACATCACACAATATACCCAGGTAACAAGCATGCACATGTACCACTACATCTAAAATAAAAGTTGAAATTATTTAAGGAAAAAGTCAAAATATGTGCTAAACAAAACAAAAAAGAAATCGGAGGCAGATATTTGGTATCAAAAATTAGAGTGGAAATATAAAATTCTGAACAACCAGTGATTATATTCCCTTCATTAAATAAAAAATAAATACTTAACTCCACCTTTCTGTATACCTCCAGTGTCAAAGAGTCACTATTTGTCTTTGCCACTGAACTCCAAGATATGTTGAAGTTCTAATCCCCAGTACCTCAGAATGTAATCTTATTTGAAAATAAGATTCTTAGGCCGGGCGTAGTGACTTGTGCCTGTAATCCCAGCACTTTCAGAGGCCAAGGCACCTAAGGTCAGGAGTTCAAGATCAGCCTGATCAACATGGGGAAACCCTGTCTCTCCTAAAAATACATAAATTAGCTGGGCCTGGCGGCACATGCCTGTAATCCCAGCTACTCAGGAGGCTGAGACAGGAGAATCACTCGAACCCATGAGGCAGAGGTTGCAGTGAGCCAAGATCACGCCAGTGCACTCCAGCCTGGGTAACAGAGCAAGACTCTGTCTCAAAAATAAATAAATAAATAAATAAATAAATAAATAAATAAATAAATAATAGAAGGCTCTTGTAAATGTAATTAGGTAAGATGTGGTAATGTTATACTTGGGTAGGGTGGGCCTATAATATAATTTGACTGGTATGTTTATAAGCAGAAGGGAATGTGGCTGCAGAGACAGAGAGACACAAGAAGAAAAACATGTGTCGAAGGAGGTAGAGATGGGAGTGATACAGCTGCAAGCCAAGAATGGCCAAGGACTGATGGCCTCTACCAGAAATTAGGAAGAGGCTAAGAAAAATTCTACTGAGTCTCAGAGGGATCATGGCCCTGCTGGCACCTTGATTTTCAACTTTTGTGAGACAAGGAATTTGCTTTGTTTAAAGCCACCCACTTCATGGTACTTGGGTATGGCAGCCCTAGAAAACTCTTCCAGCCCTTGTGTTTTGTTACAAACCTAAGTGAAAAATCTATCTAATAAGCCCCTGTTAGAAGATTAACATGGGTGCCAGGAAAAGCTTACCTGCAACGTAGTCACCAAATCCAATAGTTGTTAGAGTGATAACCACAAAATAAATGGCGTCCAGGGCACTCCAGCCTTCTATGTGTTTGAATATGATCGCAGGCAGAGCCACAAAGAGTACACAGCCAAACAGTATAAATATGATTGTTGAGATGATGCGAATCTTGGTCTGACTAACATTCCACTTCTAGGGATGAGACAGAAAGATGTGTGTGTGTGTGTGTGTGTGTATATATATATATACACACACACATATGTATATGGGGAGAGAGAGAGAGAGACAAAGAGAGACAGAGAGAAATTATTTGCATACCCACAAAGTTAACCTATACACTACTATGAGCAAATTAGCAAGTAAGCATGTTATTTTATTTTCTTTTATACTTCTTTACATATGAAAATTAGGTATCATCAATAAATCAATCAATGCTAATAATAATGCTACTTTATCCTCACATAGCTTTACAACAGGTAAAATTCTTTTGAAAAGGCAAATTACATTTGCCCTAAGAATGCAATTTTAGATTTCCATCATTATTTGTTTACCTAAAATACTTTTGAAATATTTCTATTCTATAGTCATACATAAAACTGATTGCACGCCAAATACAATCCAGAACCATATAAAAATAGAGACACTGAAACAAGAATTAAGTATTTACAATTGTTCATTGATAAACATTAATTTCATAAAGTTTTTTTTCTGTCACTTCCATCACTTTTTCCTATCATTAATTGATTACAGCATAATACTAACAGCTTAACCTCCACAGTTAGATTCCAACATGAACCAGGTGAATTGTTTCTCTGTTCTATGGTACTAAATTGTATAACTAACAAAGCTACATGATCAGCAAGTAAGGATAAGTCTTCAATATCCCTAGGCCATAGCTGTCATCAGAATACCCATTTTTTTAAATCTCCTTCTCCAATAATAATAATAATAAAACTTAATAGTGTAATGTATTAAATGAGGTTGGTATATATAACAGTTTATGTCCAGTTTTCTATTTGAGGTTAGTTACCATATATTTTAAGTCTGACTGAATCAGTCCTATTTACTGTAAAAAATATAGGTCACAAACTACACCATATGAAAATCACAGAATGTTAGAGCTTGAGAATTTTTAAAGACCTATGAAATCACAGAATGGAAAGGGTACATTGACATTCCTCTAGTCAACCATCCTCATCTTACATGTGAGAGTTAAATGAGTTCATGTTTAGAAAGATTATAGAATAATGCTTGGTACCAAACACTGAACCATGATCACTGCAATGTCATCACCATAAGGGCATGGAATTTGTTTGTTTATGCACTGGTGTATATGCAACACAAAAAAATATTACCCAGCGTCTAGGAGGCACTCAACAATTTGTTGAATGAATGAATGAAGAATTCAACATTACCATGTTTATGTCGCCAATCTGCCCTCTTGATTAATATAAACAGAGAATTATTTTAAATAAAAGTATAATACAAAAAAGAATAAAACTCCAATTTTGGAATAACTATGTGTTATTCTTCTTCAACACAATGTTGAACAAAATATTTGAGATCTAACTTTGATCTTAAATCTGAAACATGACTAGTGCTAAAACTGGAGCTGTAATCCAAATTGAGAAAACCATACTCAATATTTTATTTCATCGGTAGAGTTAAATATAAATATTTTGCTGAACTTTGTGTGAAAGTATAAATATTACTAAACAATGAAGAAAATTTATTTGCAATAGTGGTGCTAGAAGTAACAAATCCTTTATAATCCCACCCTCTAACAGGAACAGTTACTTTTTCCATAATTTTCTTCCAAGAACTCAAGCTTATAATCCTAAGAGTGGTAGTATTTTTCGCTTAAAATTCTAACAAAAGTATTTTCATTTTTTTGTTGACTATAATACAACTTGAAGATCTCCACGTATACTACATCTTTGGTTCTACCAAATTACATTGTGTAGATACATTTCTATCAATGGCACTACTGAATTAAGTTATATGATCATCTTTATTATGTTTACTATTTAGACTACATCTTTCCCAAAGGGGCTTTATAAGGGTATCAAAACAAATTTTAAAATAATAAAGTACTGTCAGTCTTTTACTACTTATGTTAAAGTTAAATTTATATTGCCACCAACCCTCAGAATGATGCCTCCATATACCATTATTCAAGTTATACAAATAAGAAAATGTAGATTTGATGGGATAATAACTAGTTTAAGAGAATACAGCTAGGAGACACTACATATGAAATTTAAATCTGGTTGGACATGGTGGCTCAAGCCTGTAATCCCAGCACTTTGGGAGACCAAGACGGGCAGATCATTTGAGGTCAGGAGTTCAAGACCAGCCTGGCAAACATAGTGAAACCCCACCTCTACTAAAAAACACAAAATTAGCCAGGCATCGTGACGGGTGCCTATAATTCCAGCTACTCAGGAGAATTGTTGAACCTGGGAGGTGGAGGCTGCAGTGAGCCAAGATTGCACCATTGCACCATTGCACTGCAGCCTGGGTGACAGAGCAAGACTCTGTCTCAAAAAAAAAAAAGTAAAAGAAATTTGCATCTAAGACTTTTGAATTTCTACTTTTTTCTGTTTATATCTTTGAGTTTTTCTCATGCATTAATTTATTCATTCAGATTAAGTATAAACATAATTAAAATACAGTGAGTTACATGCCAGTAGAGATACATATAAATTGTTATGGAAACCCTAATAATTGAATCGCTAATTGTATCTGAGGTGACAGAAAAGATGTATTTTTTTAAAAAATCAAACAATAAATATATGTAGTTAAATATCTATCATACTCACAATAAACGTATCTTCCACTTTGGCAATTCCTTTTCCAAATATGGTGCCTAGTTGATCTCCAACTCCAGCCAAGAGAAAACCAAAGAGGGGAATTCCCAGTAAGGCATAGATGATACAGAATATTTTGCCGCCTTCTGTACGTGGTGAGATGTTTCCAAATCCTTTAAAAAAATTACATTGTTTATAAATGAATATAGTTGTTTAAAACATATGAACTCAAGATTGATTCAGAAACTCCCAAATATTGCATGATATCAATAATTGATTTTGACTAGTTAAGAATCTGTTTGTATTACATACTATTTTAATATGTTCTAATATAAGATATTCTAAGCAAATATTTCAAAAAAACTAAACTTTGAGATGATGAAAACTGAGGTGATAACACATGCAATAATGTTTTCATTATTATTATTCACTATTTTTTCAAAATAATATTTTCATTAAACTTATTTCTTTTTTCTTTCTTTTTTTACTTTAAGTTCTGGGATACAATTGCAGAATGTGTAGGTTTGTTACCTAGGTATACGTGTGTGCCATGATGGTTTGCTGCACCTCTCAACCAATCATCTAGGTTTTAAGCCCTGCATACTCTTCCTCCCCTTCCCACCACTCCTGACTCATCCCAGCGTGTGTTGTTCCCCTCCCTGTGTCCATGTGTTCTCACTGTTCAATTCCCACTATGAGCGAGAACATGTGGTGTTTGGTTTTCTGTTCCTGTATTAGTTTGCTGAGGAAGATGGCTTCCAGCTTCATCAATGTCCCTGCGAAGGACATGATCTCATTCCTTTTTATGGCTGCATAGTATTCCATGGTGTATATGTACCACATTTGCTTTATCCAGTCTATCATTGATGGGGATTTGGGTTGGTTCCATGACTTTGATATTGTAAATAGTGCTGCAATAAACATATTTGTGCAAGTGTCTTTATAGTAGAATGATTTATAATCCTTTGGCTATATACCCAGTAATGGGACTGCTGGGTCAAATGGTATTTCTCGTTCTACATCCTTGAGGAATCACCACACTGTCTTCCACAATGGTTGAACTAATTTACATTTCCACCAACAGTATAAAAATGTTCCTATTTCTCCACAACCTCTATTATTACTTTACTTTTTAATAATCGCCATTCTGACTAGCCTGAGTTGGTATCTCATTGTGCTTTTGATTTGCATTTCTCTAATGATCAGTGATGTTGAGCTTTTTTCATATGTTTGTTGGCTGCATAAATGTCTTCTTTTGAGGAGTGTCTGTTCATATCTTTTGCCCAGTTTTTGATGGTTTTTTTTCTTGTAAATGTGTTTAAGTTCCTTGTAGATTCTGGATATCAGACTTTTGTCAGATGGGTAGATTGCAAAAATTTTCTTCCATTCTGTAGGTTGCCTGTTCACTCTGATGATAGTTTCTTTTCCTGTGAAGAAGCTCTTTGGCTTGATTAGACCCCATTTGTCAGTGTTGGCTTTGGTTGCAACTGCTTTTGGCACATTAAACTTACTTCTATCTCTTTATTGCTGATAATCCTGTTGACTGTAAAGCTTTTGTTATCATTCAGAACACACTGAGAAGACTATATTGCCTTAATTCAAGAGTCTTCAGATATGCTTAAGTTATTTAAAGATGAAAGTTTAGTAGCAACTTTAAAATATTTTAATTAAAGTATTTACCAAAAAGCAATATCCAAAAATGTAAAATTATTCAACTTCTTTAAAGTTTTAAAGATCGTGAAGCCTTTCCAGTTTTGTGCAAGGATATCTACTTGTTACTATTCAAGTAGCTCAACTTCATTCACTTTTAATACCAGAAGAACCATCTACACATATATGCTTGGGTTAAAGAATGTACTTCTAGAAGTACATAGAGTACCTCTTTTCATCAGCAAACCTCTTACTTTCCTTCATATTAAATTAATTTGGAACTTTGATTTTAGTTATCTCTTACTCAAAAATGTGAGCAGATATTTTGGGATTTTTGTTGTTGTTGTTACTTTCCAGTTTAATGACTATTGTAGTCAAAGATTATGGGCTATGTGATTTTTACTTGTTGGAATCCATTGAGATTTTCCTTGTGGCTTTATTATGATCAATTTTTGTATTTGTTTAATTGTTATTTGAAAAGAATATGAATGTTGTATTTGTTTGATACAAAAAGAACATGGAGCGAGGGTGAGCTAATGTTTAGTCATTTTAATCCATATATTTTTCCCTACGATATTTCCATCTTTCTCTTCCTCCTACTCAGTCAATTCTGTGTTCGTTGCTAGTCAACTCATCTACTGAGGGATTTGTTTTTAATGTATCTAATGTTCAAGAACTTTGACTTTTTTTTCCATTAGCCTGTTCTTATGCCATGAAAATAATAATTATATTCATTTCTTTTTCAGTGTTGAACCATGTAGTAACTCAATTCTTTGAGGGAAATCCTACACTTTCTTTACTTAGGACAATTTCTACGAGTAGTTAATTCCTGGTCATATCCTCATACTTGTAAACACAATACAATACTAGATTGGTTAGTATTCGTAGTCGAAATTTATTTTCTAGCCTCAGTGAGAATCATGACTGTTCTGGTGGTATATGGAAGATTCTGGTTCAAGGAGCCCTGGCTGAAGTAGTGCTGGTGAAGGAGGGGAGACTGGAGTCTGGACTTTCACGTAGGAGTGCATTGTACAGGATTTCTGGGGACAGGTTCTCCTAATTCTCAAAGCAGCCACCAGTGTACAGCCATCTTACTGTTCCTCAGGCCTGCTGCCTGCTCTGGGAATATCTGTAACACAGCTCTGTTTGGAAAATACAGCTTGATTCTGGAGGCAAAGACTGGAGGCAGCTACCAAAAAGTTAGGATTAGTAGTTCCACAGAACTTGAAGTAATTTATAGGCTGACTGCCCTTGGACCCATTTCTGTTTTTAATTTTGGTGACTTTATGAAGTTCTCTTGGAAATTTTCAGTTTTTGAATCCTCAGTTTTGCTTCTATGGGGGATGTGGGCTCCTCAACTCAAGAAGAGTTCATGGTCCCTCCGCATCTATATCATTCATAACATGCCCAAATCCACTCCTGTTGTGTCAGTCACAATATTTTCCCTGCTCTTGAGCACACTATGGAAATTAAAAAAAAAAAAATTTCTATGCCTCCGTCATCTCAACTTTTTGGTGATGTGAGGTAAATGCATGTTTACATAAACAAGGAATTCAATCTCTGAATTTACCAGTCTTTTAAGAAGTTAGATATTGATTATCTAACAAAAATTCCACAGGTTTACAATAAGGTGATCACACATCATGTTAAAACCATTTTACATCAGAGCCTAAAATTAACTGATTGAAAGATATCAGTCAAGACAAAACCTAGCAAGAGTTTAGCAGTATATGATAGACATTCCTGGAACCATCATTCCTTAGTTATGTGACCTTGGGAAAATTATTTCCTCATCTGTTAACAGGACATATTGTTATTACAAACTTTATTGAGTTTTAAGTGCTAAAATTAACTGATTGAAGGATATCAGTCAAGACAAAACTTAGTAACAGTTTAGCAGTATATTATAGCCATTCCTGGAACGATTATTCCTTAGTTATGTGACCTTGGGCAAATTATTTCCTCATCTGTTAAAAGGGCATATTGTTACTACACATTTCATTGAGTTTTAAGTACCAAATAAAGTATTACGTGAAAAGTGCTTACTCTATTATACTATATGTGCTCAATATATGTTAGGTATGATAATAATTCTTATAATCACTATTAATAATAATATTTGTAGAAGCAAAGGTTAGAGGATCAATGTATTTAGCCTCATCAGTATGCAAAGTATTTAATAGCCAGGTTAATATAGTCATGACTATACATTGTTCTTCCACTGTGTTGTGAATGTTTTTTCAAATTATGGATGCCATTCTTCATAAGGGACATTGGCAAAATAGCATGCTCTATATTAAGCAACTTTTCACATATGAAAGTTGAAGGAATTGGAGGTGTTTGTGCTGAAGAAAAGAAGGCTGAGAGTAGAAAGACGCAGGCTAGCTGATTTAAACTATGTGAATGATTAAAACATGGACAAGGAAACAGACCTATTCTGATGCTTCAAGGCAAAGAATAAAAAGCAATTGGTGCAAGCTATGGAAAGTGAACTCATGCTAAAGTAACTGCAGCCAAAATAGAGTAAATGACTATAAGAGTCAGACAGAAGCAAGATAATCACTTGCAGTGTTTAATACTTTGGACTAATGGTTTTCTGGGATTCCTTATAATACAAAGTTGTTATGAATCAGTGGGCAAATGTATATGCATAATAAGAGTAAGGTTCTCTAATATCTGCTTTTGCCATGGATTGCAATTACTCATTCATACATTCAAAATTTTTTATTAAGCATCTACTATTTGCCAGGCACTTTGCTAAGCACTAGGGGTGCAGCTATGAAGTAGACAGACCTGATCTCTCAAGTTGACAATCCAGTGAGGACATCCGCAAGAGACTGATACAGAAGTGTGATAAGTGTGTGCCACAGAAAGTACAGAATGTTCCTGATGCACAGGATGTAAGAGAATGAGACATGCTGCACACAGTAAGTGACCCTGAAGCTGTGATCTGAATCTGAGTAGAAGTTACTCAGGTAGCGTAAATAATGAAATTAAGGCAGAAATAAATAAGTTCTTTGAAACCAATGAGAACAAAGACACAATGTACCAGAATCCCTGGGACACAGCTAAAGCAGTGTATAGAGGGAAGTTTATAGCACTAAATGCCCACAGGAGAAAGTGGGAAAGATCTAAAATTGACACCCTAACATCATAATTAAAAGAACCAGAGAAGCAAATGCACACAAATTCAAAAGCAAGCAGAAGACGAGAAAAAACTAAGATCAGAGCAGAACCAAGGGAGATAGAGACAAGAAAAACTCTTCCAAAAAATCAATGAATCCAGGAGGTGGTTGTTTGAAAAGATTAACAAAATAGATAGACCACTAGCTAGACTAATAAAAAAGAAAAGAGAGAAGAATCAAATAGACACAATAAGAAATGATAAAGGGGATATCATCACTGATCCCACAGAAATACAAACTACCATCAGAGAATACTATAAACACTTCTATGCAAATACACTAGAAGATCTAGAATAAATGAATAAATACCTGGACACATACACCCTCCCAAGACTAAA